GTTGTCTTTTCCCTTGTCAGTTTTTAGAGTCACTGTCTCCTTGGGCATCTCAACATGTCCTTATTTTTGAAACATGGGCACTTGACTCCCAGTGTGATTAGCTTTCATATGAATCATTATAGAATTGAAGTGGGAGTTTCATTATCCCCTAACTTATTTGATAACTTACTACTTACTTCAGAATTGAAAAACATTGTCCAGCCTTCAGAACTAGAGTGACATCGGTTAGGATGGATATTTAAGAGGAAAATTTTAGAATGCAGTCAATAGCAAAGGCTTGGACATGTGACATTAAAGAGCTATGTTGCTTTGCCTTTTGAGACGTGGTTTGTTATTTTAGTAAAATCAATGATTTAGAGGTTATTTCAAGGTCATTCTGGAGATTATGCTATATGAATGATAGAGAGTAAGAGTAAATTTTGAGTATGATTTGCCTACTTGGACTTAATTCTGGTAACTGATTTTATTGTATGTGTGGGGGAAATCTGTCACATCTGTAATCTTTACTTACCTTTATTTACTGAACCACTAAGCTGTACATAGGCACAGTGGACAATCAGATTTGACCCAAACTTTCTGTCCTTGACCCATATGAAGGTCAGAGGAGCAATGCTGACTTTTAATTAATCTGTAGTGCTAATAGGGACATTATTTTTTCCAAGTCAAGTGTATCATCTATTTATGATGTTTTATAAGATCACTATTAAGTGCAAACAGAGTATTTATCCTTCTTTTTGGGAGTAAGTAAATGACCTGTTATTCATAGTATAATGCAGTTTATAAAAGGTGGTTGTTACTGGTCTCTAAGAATCACATTATAATGAAACAAGTTGTTAGGAAGCAGAAGTTTACATGAAAGTTGGGAGTCATTTTTATCCAGTTCTGAAACAGGTGTGTCCATTCTAATTTTTACTTATATGTAGAAAATAAAGTTATTTTAATACTCTCAGTAGTATTTGGAATTGTATTTATGAAATAAATTTGATGAGTTTTAATTCACTACTGGGATCTAACTCCTAACACTTCTATTCAAAGTATATATCTGAAGAAAATTTTTGCTGGCTTGATAATAAACAGATGAAAGTCCAGATTCCACAGCCTAGGTCTGAAGGACGGTCACTTAGGAATTATATTTGGCTGGAAGTAATAGTAGATGGAAAGAATTTAGGGTTAATAGTACGACTTCTTGCTCTACTCTTTTTTTCATTCTTGAGATCATCTCATGGTCGTAAAAGGCCTGTGTAGTTCAGCCGTTACTTCCACAATCCAGGCAAAAAGGCAGAGGGGGGCATAATCATCATCCCCCTCCTTTAAGTAGCATTCCAAAAGCCCCATCCAGTAACTTCTGCTTACATTCCAGTTCACCAGAATTTAGTCATTTGGCTACCTGTGTCTGCCAAGGAGGAAGCGAAATGTAGTTTTCCATTGCTAACTCATCACCTACTCCAAATAATAACAGTAACACAAAATAACTCACCAAAACCAAACCAACAAAAGCAAACATCATCCTATATTGAGGCAGAGAAGAAAGAGAGATGTTGGTGAGAATCCAAAGAATCCAGCTGGCCTTTTATGATCTATTTTAGCCTTTCCTTTGATCTCATCTGCTGTTTTAAGCACTTTACACCATAGACTCATGAGAACACTTTGCACTCACAGAGTAGACCTCGACTATTCCCCCCCCCCACACACACACTTTGCTCATATTCTGAAAACCTTTTGTTTCCTGTCCCAACAGCCTCTTACCTCTAACACGTAGCGCAGATCAAAGTGCACATCTGAGGCCTCTCCAGGGTCTGAGTTATAGTCGTCACATGCTCCATTGTTCTTTCATCTCTCTGTAGTAGCACTTGTCATAGCTTCAACAAAATTAGTTACACAGTCAATTTTTCATATTCTCTGTGATTCTCTCATCTCCCCACTGGTGTGCAGTATCATACATTTTATGTAACCAGTGTTCCATGTGCATTTACTGAATCCTATCCCAAACCTAAAGCCAATAAGATAATAGGAAAAAACACTCTCGTGCAAAAATTTTCAAAGGATTGGATTATATCAGCTTTATGAGCATACTGTTACTTTTAATAGCGGTTGGCTAACCTCATAACTACTAACTAAGAGCTGTTGGCTAACCTAAGGGTTATTTTGTGTATAGTCTGTCAGTTCAGCAGTTTGCTTTAAAATACAAACTCCTTAAACATGGAAGAAACATTAACAGGCTTGACCTCATATAATGCGTGCATTTGATGACTAGGGCATTCTGTTTAGAAAAAGGGAGAAGGAACAAGAAGATCTTTTGTTCTTATAGAGCACCTGAAACCACTATAAATAGAAGATCATCAAGTTGGTCAGGGGTCAAAACTAATACAGCCTGGGGCCTCAGGTTCAGCATTTCATAACATGCCCTCTTCTAAATTAACTTCTTCCTATTTTTAAGTGACATTTTCTAAATTACTTTTTTATATTCTTAGAAATATTTTCAAATTCCAGTTATTCTAAGGGGTTACTACTTTGATTTGCATCTAATGATTTCAGATGTTTCTTTTATTTAAAAAAAAAACATGGCATTCTGTGTGCTCTCAGTGATATTCAGTTATTGGGTTGTATTCGTATACAAGCATTAAAATATATGGAATATTCTTTTCTTTAAATATGATATTTTTTCCAGACTTGCATTTACATACAGAATGGCTTGTTCCTAGGACTTGTTTTAAAAGATGTGCATAGTAAAAACCACCTATCGTGTATAATTCACTGAGAGTTATATCGGAAGTTTCTCTCACAGATCTAAACAAAATTGTCTCGAGGGCTGAGGTTGTAGCTCGGTGGTAGAGCACTTACCTTGTATGCATGAGAGGCCCTGGGTTCTATCCTCAGCACCACCTAAAAATAAATAAAATAAAATAAAGATATTGTGTCCATCTACAGCTTAAAAAATATTTTTTAAAAATGTCTCCATTTGAATTTAAAGCAGTAAACTAAAATCAGATTTAAAGAATTTTTTTAAGTTCTATTTCTCTACCACTTACACTCTGCTCATCCTCTTTTTGCCAGCTTTTTAAATTAAATACCTCCTGAGCAGCACTATCTAAGGATTGGTAATGGTACAGGGTCAAATCGGAGAAACAAATAATAGGAAAGGCCTGAGAGTAAAATTAGCTGATGCACCCTGTGGGTTGCCAGGTGAGGGAAGGGTGAGTGAGAGGTGAGTAAGGAGATGTAGAATACAACCACAACAGTATGCACATCAGTTTTGCAGAAGTTTTAAAGGAAACGGTGCTTGGGAATTGTCAGAAAGGAAACTGGGAGCCCATCCCAGAATGGAGAATGGCAGGAACCAATATGGGAAGGAAAAGATGTCAAGGGGCTTAAAAACTCAGGGCCCTCGTTGACTCCATTTCCCCAGGTCTTCAAGGTCCATCTGCTCCTCACGCAGTGGCTGCTGAAGCTGAGTCTTTTCCTGTCACTGACACAACCTGTGCCTTCCTCGCGGTCAGACTTGAATGATTGGTCATGTGCTTTCTCTGCCATCACACCTATCCAGCCCGGTCTACACGCTGATAGTGCTAGTATTCCAGGAGCTTTCATTTCTACCCACTAATTGTCCCAATGGTGACAAACACTCAGAAAGTTTTCATTTCCTGAAATAGAATATATTCCTCAGTCTGAAATTTAAGGAAAACCTTCGTCTGACACCACTCCTTACGATTGCTTCTCACGCTTTCACCAGCATTTTCACCTTCTTGTTATCTTCACAAGCCCCTGAGTGACCTCTAACTAACCTGTGGTCTACTTTGCTATGTAATTCTCTTCTCCCTTTTATGTCTCTGCGCTGTAAGAACCAACACAAGTCTTTTCTATGAGGTTTTCCATATAAATCTATATGGATTTGCCTATGTGATGATTTCTTTACATATTTTATATGTGCTATCCATTTTGCTCATAAATTATATGTTGAATTAAAAACATGTAATTGTTTTGTCCCTTCATCTACATTGTAGGCTCCTAGGAACCAGTAACCGTGCCATATAATTATTATTTACCTATTGTAGTATCTGGCCTAGCATCGTGGGTACATTCTAGTGCAGAGTTTCTTAATATTGGCACCATGACATTTTGGGTTGGAAATTTTTTTTGGGGGGGGGTTATCTCCATTGTAGGATAGTTAGTAGTATTCCTGTTCTCTACCTACTGGATGCATCCCCTCTCCATTGTAATAGCCAAAAATATCTCCAGACCTTGTCAAATGTTCCTAAGGGGAAAAAGTTCCCTAGTTGAGAATTGCTGGCATACAATAAATTCCTGTGAGATTATGAGAAGACTTTAGTATAGCATTTTGAGGTCTTAAGGGAAGAGGAACACAGTAGATAGAAGAGAGTAAAAGTTAAACTGAGAATTTTCTATTTCCTATGGTTTGGCCATAAAAAGGCCATTATAAATGGAAGAGGAATTGTAATGAACCTTAGGGTTAAGAAGATTAAGATGATGGAAATATCTTTTGATTTAAAGAACCAAAATATATTGTTTTAATTTATGTTTTATCTTGGATCGTTTCATACTTAGTATATCATTTCTAATAAAATAAGCTTTTTATTGTTTAATTGGAAATTTATCTGGATCTCATATATACCCAGTATTTTCAGACTGAGAGCTACGTTTAAGTATATTTGAGAGAATGAGTTTGAAATTGTGGTTGCAAGTTATTTTAAAATTATAGCTGTTGACAAACATCAGTATATTATTATACAGTTTTACCTTTAAAACTGAGTATTGTCCTAAAGTTTAGAAAAATTTCCAGCTTCAAGTGATACACACACACACACACACACACACACACACACACACAGAGGTTTTACGGTAAAACAATGATTTTGTCTCTTTCTGCCACTTTGTTGTACTTTCTTAGTTTTTTTCTTTTATTATCAAACTAGTCCATGACATTAATGCTGTATAGTTGGTGTATTGCTGAACTAGCAATAATGCATGACCTCTTTTTACAGCTGTGTGCCAGCCTCAGTGCAAACATGGTGAGTGTATTGGGCCTAACAAGTGCAAGTGCCACCCTGGATATGCTGGAAAAACCTGCAATCAAGGTAGGAAAACAGACCAAAGTCATATGCCATCTCTGTTCCTGACAAATTAAAAATTTTAAATTCTCATCCCAAACTAGTTTCCATAGTAATTTTTCCCCAAATGTGTGAGCTGCCATTTTGCTGGTAGATTTTTTTAAAAGAAAAGGTAAATCTAATAAACTTGATTTTCTCAAAATACAATTAAATAAATCATATCCCCTTATTTTTATTCTCTTATATTTATTAAAATATTTTTTGAAGAACATCACTGCATCAGTAGTGTGGTTAGATGCCTTACCTTCTGGTGCTTCTACTAACTAGTTAGGAAGATCATTAACCTCCTCAGATCCCAGTTACTGCTTCTCTTTAATACCAGAAACCAGGTAGGGCGCTGGACTTGAAATTTGGAAGTTCCTTCCAACTGTGAACCCTCTGATTCTGTGTTTAAGTCTCCCTTAAATTGTTGGCTCATTTTAAATGCTCTTTTGAGAAATAAAAATGTGGATTAGTTTGCAAGTGATTTAAAAATCGGCATCATATGCTTATAAAAATAAACATTTATTTATCTGATACAGTGTCTCAAATACTTTATATTAATTATCTATTTCCATTCTTATAAGGACATTAAGAAGTAGAATGCTACTTATTATAATTAAGTTATAAATAATAACATACATTTTATTCCACTTTTCATTTGAAGTTCAGAGATATTGTCTTTCCCTGGTTTACAAAATTAGTTGGTTAAAAATAAAAGATAGTATGTCAAGCTAGAGCTATTGTTTTATATAATCCATATCCTTCCTACTATATTAGTTTTGGATGAAGAAAATATAACTGGAAGTGTTATCCTCTGACTCTGCCTAACAAGGCTTGGACAAGGCTTGTCTTCCTAGTTAATTTTAGCAAAAATTTCTAACTATTAGGAATTTAAAATCTAGAAATAAAGAAAAGTTCACCTTAGATTTCACTAAAAAGACAAACGTGTCAATTTTTCTTATTTCTTAATGTAATATTCTATTATCTTAAATGTCAAATAAAATAATAACGGGGGTGGGAGTGGTGGGGTCAGGTATAACTATCCTATGGGTATTTATTTGGCTTTATCTTATACAGAAATGATATTATTCAGTATCTGATACTTGTTCTAGGATACTCCTTGCAGTGTCATGTCAATCATGATTTATAGACATAGTTTTTACAACCATGTAGAACAATGATATTTTAAAATATATGCAATTATTCATCAGATGAAATGCATCACGTCCCAAACATACTTGGCTCTTTTTGAAATAACTGGTGTTTTTATTATCTCAGTTACTCTAAAAGTGGGTTTGATTTAAAAAATTTGTTTGATTTTCCTTCCCTAGCCTAAGTTCACAAGTAGCAGCATGTTAGGTTCTGGTTTTTGAATTATCAGTATTCATCTTGGAATGCCAGTCTATTTCTTTTTTAAAAATGGTAAACATAAACTCTCAGAGGTTTTATTAATATGTCAACACTATAAAACTTTATTGTCCCCATATCAGGAAGACTATTAAAAGAAGCCACTTTTGAGATTGCAGAGAAGTTTATTTAAATTTATTTGCAGGAGCTATAGGAACTTTAATTATTCAAAGACACTAAATCTATTATTGGACAAGGCTCCATCACTGGGCATCTCTTATCTTCCATAAACCAATTTACTGTGTGCTTTTTTCCTATAGCACACTTATTTTCCCTCAAGAAAATTGGAAATACACCAAGTTAAAAATCTTGCCTCCCCACACCATATTCCTTAAGGAGAAGAGGATTTTATTAGCACCAAAATGGGATTTATACTTGCAAAAATAGCACTGACACTTAAAATGTCACTTCAGGTCTAATCTTGAAAACAAAACTCCAGCTTGGAGTAAACTCATATGCTCTAATTGCCTCTTACTTTGTTCTCCTTACAAAAAAAAAAAAAAAAAAGCAGTTGTAGCACATTCCTGATGCAAAGGTTTATGCTGCTTGAGAGAGGAAACCCTTTGTGGTGTCTCTGATTTCTGGATTCCATAAAACTATTATTAAGGTGACTTGCACATGCAAAGAGTATATTAAATTTGTTAAATGAATGATTGATTCATATAAAGGTTCTCAGTCCTAAATACCACAGGAACTTCAAAGGGTTCCATAGAGTTTGTGATACAACAACTTAGATAGTCTCTGAGTCGGTGGACTGAGAGCCCTGCCAGGTTGAGAGAGGCTACTGTGAACAACCTGGTAAGTGTGAGAGCTGCCTAGTGACTCCCATGGAACCTGAAGAGCAAACTGGCTGTACCTGCTGTATGAGAAATTAACTTGGACTGTTTTTATCTAGGATCACACATTTTAATAAAGTAAAAAATATGCCTCAGAGATATAGGAAATCAAGCATTTCTTTTTTCTCAAGAGGAGAAATGTCAAAAAGAAATAAATTTGAAATAGTTCCATAGAACTAGAAATTTAGTTATTGATTAAAAGTAGGCTTTGATACAAGGCACGTATTTGCTAAGAATTTTGCTCTGAGTAATATATTTTAATAAATAACCCCTTGGAAACTTGTTTGACAGAGTAAACAGCTTAAATAAATGACAAGTGCTTAACCGGTGCTTTTAGAGCTGCCTGGGGAACAACTAGAATTGCAGGGCAAGTTGCTCTGCAGAACTGGCTTAATTTTATAACCTTGTCACAGGCTTAGACTATTGTTGGTGGCTTGCTCTTCCTTCCAAGATATTTTCTCCATTTGCTGTACCAAGATCAGATATAAAATCATAGTTTTGGACTGATCATTGGCATACTTGATAAGGCACATGATACCTTTCATAGTAGATGAAATTCCAACCCAAATTTTAATAAGATTTTCTTTGATCATTTGCTTCCTGACCCTTACATTTTCTGATAATTTTATTCATGATTATTTTCCCTTTCCTTGAGGATTAGTACCCCTATAAAACCCCTTACCCCCAGCTAAGAAATAATAATAATAATATATATAATAATATTTTTATATATTTCCCATTGGGGAATTATTTTTAGCATGTACATATAGCATTCATATTTTTAGAAATAAAAGATGTTCTTTTGAATTTATAGTGTGCTTGATAATAATTTCAGAACAATTTATAAATATCAATTACTAATGTTTTGGCTTGGGTTTTGTTTCACATGTTGAATTCCACATCCCAAGAAAGATCAATATTTCATAGCATATAATTAAATATTAATAAATATTAAATACTGGTTTACAAGTTATATTTTTATTTTTTCACTTAGCACAACAATCTAAGTACTGTAACCCTAGTATTTCAGTGGTTACCTCAAGCCTTACTTTTTGAAAGTTGTGTGGTTTCAACCCCAGAAACCAAGGTTCATTTGATTTGGAAGTTTAAATGGCTGTTAAAATAGAATGTGTTTTTCTTTTTGATTTTCTATCAGAGTCTCTTCTGTCTTATGTCTTGGTAAGCTAATAATGGCAACAGTTAACGTTTTTTACATAAAGCTTCTAATGTGTGTTCTAACTAAATGTGACCTACATGTGACATAAGTTTTTACTTTTGAATGAAAATAGTGATGATCAAGCTATTATTTAAATAGGATCATTATGCAAATCATAAATTCATGCATAATTTTAGGATATTTAAGCCATTACTAACCAACATCACAATATAGGAAAAAATAAATCTTAAGTTGGTCATTTAAGACTTTAATGTCCCTAACTAGAGCCAGTGAATTGTAATCAATATAATTTATGTTGTTTGTTTCTCCCTTCTGTTGATGACTAACATGGTGGTTTTAAAAATGATCACTTTTTGCTGTTGTTTTTTTTTAATGGTAAGAGAATGATGGGTTATTAATTTATAATGTGTTTATTATTCTTGATGATGGTCATCAAGTTTTAGGAAAATTAAAATTAAAGGGGAAGGAGAACTAGGAACTATTTGTTTTTGGTAAAGTATCTAAAGAGTTCTTTTTAAGTTCCACCAACTTTATGTACTTTTTTAATATATACTTGTAAAGATTTTAGGGTTAAAAATGACATCAGTTCAAAGTTGACTCTTATTACCTTCCTCCTGGTGTGAAGATGAGCACTTCTACCCAACTCCTCTTGACCAAGGCAGTGAACAACCTCTTTTTCAACCCCTGGATCATCAAGCCACAAGTTTACCTGCAAGGGGTGAGCGTGCATTGTCTCAGGTGGTCTGCTCCTCCCACCTGCACAGCTTCCTGCAGTTATGTCACTTCTTGCAAAAGTTCTGAAGACTAGCACAGAAGTGCCCAGCCTTCAGCCTGAGCATGTGAAGCAAACAGCAGGAACTATCACCTGGTGCCGATTCTCTGTGCCCTGAAAAGCATGGAGCCTTCACTGTCCTTTTACTATATCATTGCTTTTCCTCTTCTCTGGGTTTTGAAATGTTTTCCCAAAATCAGAGAGCAAGTTAAGTTTTGTTTTCATATGTAGGCAAAGTCAGGAATTCCAGAGTAACCGAGATTGGGGTTTTGATGTCTTTGCCAGGTAGATTTTAGAAGTGATTAAGTCCTCTTCCCCACCACCATCTATTTGATATGTAGAATTTAAGGTTACTAGAAATCAAGCCATATATTTGCTTCTTTCTTTCAGTGCACATTTTGTAATATCAGAAAGCTTAAGTTCTGGTTCCCATAAGCTCTTTCATTGTGAGTAAGACATTTAATGTGTCTGGGTCTTAGCAAACCAATCAGTAATGGGGAAGACAGTAATTCCTGTCTTATTTGCCTACAGGGTTGTTATGAGAATAGAAACTCCGAAAATATTAATGTCTACATTGTGCTAGAAAGTTTTATAGAAAAATAAGGTAGTAGAATAATTTTACAGTTCTTCCGAAAGATTTTATTCTGTACCCACTCATAGATTTAGGAACTTAGAATAACTGAATTAAAATAGTTTACAATAATTATTGTCCCTATTAATAGGGAACTTGATACATTTTCATATCTTCTACACAAAGAAAGACAATGTGATTAGTTTCAGAGTTATTTATAATTTAAAGAACTAATGATATGGCAGGTGATATATTAACATCTGTTTTCCAGTGACATCCACTTTAGTCCAAGTTTAAAAGCTCAAATTTCTGAAACATCATCCATTGTAAGCATCAAAGGTGAGGAGAGTCCAAATGCATTAAAATGAATGAAAGGTTTTTGTCTTTTAAAACTCCATTGGGAGCCGGGCCCACACATACCTATAATCTCAACGGCTCGGGAGGCTGAGACAGAAGCATCATGAGATCAAAGGCAGCCCCAGCAAAAGTGAGGCACTAAGCAACTCAGTGAGACTCTTGTCTCTAAATCAAATATAAAATAGGGCTAGGGATGTGGCTCAGTGGTCAAGTGCCCCTGAGTTCAAACCCCGGTATCAAACAACAACAACAACAACAACAACAACAAAAACACAAAAACTCCATTGGGTTATCTTATTCAGTGAAATCACTTCCCATTTTTTTCAAACTATTTTTTCAATGTCTGCATGCTAATAAAATTTCTGATTCTTTTTTTTTTTCCTGAAGTGTAATAATAATGCTATGCAGCTTGCATTTCTGTTCTGGACCAGTCACCTTCTCTCTCCCCTTTTCTCCCACCCAAGCTCCTGAATCTACCAACCTGCTTAAATGTATGGTAATCCTGATGGTAATGCTCTTTGAGAATATTTAAAATATTTAAACGTAAGTGGTGTAATTGTAAAATTCTATCTTTTAGCATAAGATAGGTTCTTTATAGAATTAGTTACATTATATATTTTAATTAATATGTTATATAATATGTTATATATTTTCCCTGATAATTTATATTATAAACTTCAATAGAAAGAGCAAGATTAAAGTAAATTTAAAATGAAAACAATGAAGTTTTATTTCTTAGGTTCTCATCAATTTTTTATAACTTTATTTATTTATTTATTTTTATGTTGTGATGAAGATCAAACTCAGGGCCATACATATGCTAGGCAAGCACTGTACCACTGAGCCACAACCCCAGCCCTCTCTTATCAACTTTCAAGATTTATCTGGGATGGTGTGGATCAAGGAGAATTATCATGGTTCTACCTATTATTAAGGACATTTACCCTTATATAGAAATGTCATTTTGTAGTTTCTCACTTAGTATGACAATAACACAAACCTTACTTGGTCTATAATCCAATATATCCTAATAATGAATTTATATTAGAAGTAGCACATATTAACTCAATTTTATGCTTTTAGGTCATTAAGAAAATAAGGTAACATAATCATAGAATAGAAACCCTCAAGTAATTGAGGAAAAAGAGGTTCCTCACCAGGACCCCAAATGCATTTAATCTTTTGAAGCTCCCTACTTCAGCAAAATGTGATATTTGACAGTATTGATTAACACAGTTTACTGTGGAATCCTGTTTTATAATGCTTGCAGAAGTACTGGTAAGGGTCATTGTGAAGTTTTTAGGAGACACCTGACTGCGGCAGATGGTGCAATGATGACAGGCATTGGGGATATTTACACCAGCCATCTGTCAGGGAACATCATCTCATCCCCCAACAGCTGTTAAGAATAGAATTTTCTCAAATTGCTTTCCATGTATTTTGATATTTACATGCCAATTTACTAACAGGTAAAATAGCCAATGAATGTCTCTGCATTTACCCATGGAATATTGCATGTTTTCTTCCTTTTCCAAAATATTTCAAAAAATGATTTCCAGATTTTAAAAAATTATGACAGTTTATTGGTTTTTATTTCTTTTTAGTTTCATTATTCCTAACCTCAAAATGCTTTTCTCATAGGAAAGGTAAGATAAATTTAGATTAAAGCCAGACCATCAGTAGTCCCAGTCTGAACTATGAAGATTTCCACAGCAATCCAAAGGGGCCCACTACTGGCCAACACCAGAGCCATATTGTGGAACAGCTGCCTCAACTGGGCTTCAGTGTTAGTCCAAGGGCCCAGTGTCTAAAGAGGTTTCCATTAGCATAAATCCTCCTGGTTTATGCTGGAGTTATAAACACCTGACCAATCTCCATGAGGAGCCCCCAGAAGTATCTACGGCTTTCTAAAAATAAAGCTAGGGATTCTTAAATGACACATTTTTGTCCATCAATATCCTTCTCTTGAGACACATTATTCAGTTGTACTTTATTGTTTTATTGTACTGTTTTGTTATTTTTTTGTTTAGCTCAGAAAAGTATTTAAAGCACAAAGCTTTTCTCTTATAATGTATTACAAGTTAAATACTACTTCCTATAACCTTAGTCGGGGAGTTATCAAAGCCAGGTGTGACTCGGTAGGACATATTAGGAATGTACTTAACTCCTTTTAAAAATGAGGAAAGTTTCCCTGACTCAATTTTTGAATAAATAGTGAAATACAAAGTAGAATATAGGAAAGGGAGAGAATTTCTCAGTCATTCCTCGATTATTATTTCATATAACAAAGAGAATAATCAACTTTTTGACACTGGAATCTGCAAAGTATCTTCTATGAGGAATTTTTTTTTAATATTTAAAATGTGATTCTGTTTTGAAAACCTTTGACTGGGCAAAAGACAATAAAGTAGGAAATTGAAGAAAGCACAGGAAAGAACAAAAGTATTTGATTTATTTATTTAACCTTTCCAGTCTTTGCCCAGCTGGGAACTTGCTTACATTTTTGTTAAGGGTAGAAAAAAGACTAAGTTGGAAAGTCAATAAGACATGAAAATACTCTTAGATATAATAATTCTTTGGTGGTTTAAAATATAATGTTACTTGGTGGTTACTTAAGTGGAATATACAGATTTCTAAAAGAAGGGCCAGTCAGATTTAACTTTCATTAGATTTGAAAACAACTCTGCAACTAGTTATGCTATCCATATTTCTTATTCAGTGACATGGGTTAATAGATAATTAAATTATGCTAATGAGGTACTTAGCTGGTTATTCCAGACAAAATAAACATGTGGTCACATTTCTTTTTAATGAAGTCTATATTATGGGCATTACTATTTCAATGTTTATATTTCATTATGAGTTTTATGTTCACTTGAGGCAGTGTTCAACTTGAGTTGGAAAATTTTCATAATGTGGAATTCATTAATTCATTTCATATTGATATTTAAGCCAATAAACATAAAATACATAATGATAGTCCATTATGTTTTATCCATTAGTATTTCCATATGCCCTTCTTAATGGCCAAATGAATGAAAATATGTTGGAGGTATTTTTTAAAGTTTATTTTGTGACTTGAATGCATTACTAAAGTAGGAAACTCAATTTTCTTCTTAAATCTAAGATCAATACATCATCTACAAAATTGAATGGGAGAAACTACAATAATGGTCACTCTAATTCATACAGTTCTTATTCTCTGAAAATATAGCTAACCTGTGGAAAAGTCAAAGCAGTTTAATGTTTTAAAATTCATGTAATTTTCTGTAAAGTAAAATGCTCATGTAGTGCCCTCTTTAAAACAGAGAAAAGAAGACACTGAAAGAGTAGGGTCACAACATGGCATGTGACTCTAGTAGGAACACAGGTATTTTGAGCAGATTGGCAGTCAGTATAGGTGATAGAGCCCCACAAGAGGAGATGAGTCACTAGAGCCCCCCAGGAGGAGGTGAGTTGATAGAGTTTGCCCCAGCAGGAGGTGAGTATTCTGCACTTTCTGGGGATGATAAGCAGACACAGGTTGGGGGAGATTCTTCATAACTGTCCTTTATGAACAGAGATCTACATCAGTCATGGCGACTCCTGGTCACCCCAGGGTAATGTTCAAATGAAGACTGCATGAATAGGCTTTATCTCTGACATAAAGGAAGATTGCCATACTTTGAGTCACTTTTCTGTTTCATCCTTCGATACTGAGATGCATTTTAAATGTTTTACATTAGTGCTGAGGTTTTGTGATTTTTCTGCTTGAACCCACATTCTTTGCAGATCTGAACGAGTGTGGCCTGAAGCCTCGGCCCTGTAAGCACAGGTGCATGAACACTTTTGGCAGCTACAAGTGCTACTGTCTCAATGGATATATGCTTATGCCGGATGGGTCCTGCTCAAGTATGTCAAGAATCTTAACTGTTTTATAAGTGCTTTGGGCTTGATATCTGACATGCTCTGATAGCATGCCTTTGCAAATGTGGCCCTCTAGGGCCCTCCTGAACAGGACAAGTGCATGTGTTGATGTCTGTCTGAGGAATGAAAATCAAAATAAGAGGTGCCCATTTTATTTTATTGGTACTAGAGATTGAACCCAGGGACACTTAACCACTGAGCCACATCCCCACTCTTTTATTTTGAGATATGATCTTGTTTTACCCATTTTAGATGTATAATGTTGTTTACTATGGGTGCCAGTATTAAATTGATTTGAAAATGGTATTTAGAGCAAAAATCACAAAACTGAAGATGTTTCCCATTGTTTTTTCTAATATGTTTAACTCTAACTTTTACCTGGGTCTAGGATAACTATTCCAGGTTAAAAACAAAACAAAACATTAGTGATTATTTGGGTACCACTCAGAGATAATCCATCAGGTCTGTTGAGAGACTATAAATCATTCATATGTACCTTCTCACTTCATTTTTATATTTCTTTATAATAGTATGAGATTTTTAGACTTTTCTAATAGTTTATCACTTCTAAAATAAAAATTCTTTTCAAATTAAAAATAAATACAACATCAGAAAAGTAGATTTCATGAGGATCATTGTAAGAAAAGAAAATGTATGGCATTTCTTACTGTTATCAGATGTATTTATAAAAGGGACAATACCCTAAAATTCTCTAAAAGGTGAACATCTAATTGAACTTACATTTATATGATAGTCCACAATTAGTGACTTAGTTTTCATTTTGCCAAATTAACATCTAACTACATTGCATTTTATAAAGTAAAAAAAATGCTAATTTTATTTTTGCATTGTATAGACATAGCAATGGAACTTTCTGGAATGAGGTGAATACATGTTTAATAATATATGGCAGTGATGCTAAAATCATCTAACTTTGTGCAACTCTGGGAAATCTGCTGTCCTCTAGAGAAATTTGCTAGGCAGCTAAGACAATTGCTTGAAAATTTTGATTAAGAACAGTGTTGCTATTTTTTTCAGTTGGCCACTGGAAAAAAAATCCAGATAATCTATGTGAGATAAAGTTTTACATTTATCATGTAATTATTTAAAAACATTAAAAATCTCCGGACAATGAAAGCTGGTCAATTTCCTAATTATCCTTCCGAAGGGTTTCCCCCCCCCACCCCATCCCTTCCTCTTTCTTCACAATGTTTTTTTTAACTTTCTTTACTTTCTTTAAAGTGTTGGTTAATTGAGGCCTCTATGTCTGCATTGTTGATTATTGTCAATGATTTTAGGAAAAGGGAAGAATATAGTTTTTTGAATCATAGCTTTTTCTTTCTACTTCTCTGAGTCAGCCAGTCACTGTCTTTACAGGTGCCCTAACATGCTCCATGGCAAACTGTCAGTATGGCTGCGATGTTGTTAAAGGGCAAGTCCGGTGCCAGTGCCCCTCCCCAGGTCTGCAGCTGGCTCCTGACGGGAGGACCTGTGTGGGTAAGTTGTAACATCAAACGTCTTTATCAACAGCTTCTATAGGATAGAGAAAGGAAGTGGAAGGTAATAGAATTAGGAAAGCAGGCAGTTACTGATATCAGGTAATTAGCTATAGACCAGAAGGTATCAGATGTCTCAGAAGAGGACCCCACTCTGAATGCACCTGGAAGCCTTGTTTCCCCAAAAGGGAGAGACCAAAGGAAGATTTGGGCAGTGGGATTCATGTGTAAAAAAACACTGAGGTTCAAGGGAGCATAATGTTCAGGAAAACAAGTAGAACTCTGTATTTTTGGAATATGAGAGGCAAGGAGGAGCCATGAAGTGATAAAGCGGACAAGGTAGAAGGGGCTGGATTATATGTGTTGCAACATGGGGGTTAGATATTTTTCTGGAAAATTAAGATGGCAATTGTGGATTAATCTGGGCTTTGGTTCCCAGGTATGTAACCTCGGTTAGGCAAGATACTTTTGTTCTTTGAGCCTAGGTCGTCTTATCTTTAAAATGAGAATAATGCTACGTAGAACCAATGTGAGGATTGAACAAGATCATGTATACAAAGAGTTTATCGAGGACCTAGCATGTGGTGAAGACACTGTGCTAAGTGCTGGGTATACAGTAATGGGTAGATATACAGTAATGGGTAGAGCAGACAAGATTTTGAGCCTCATGAGATGGACATTCTAGTAGGAAAGTCAGAGAAAAAACCCATGATAATATTATAGACCAAGCTAAGTGTTAACATGAAATACTAAGAAAGAAAAAAAAAAACAGAAAGGGTCTGTATTAGAAATGGTAAGGAAATTCCCACAGTAAGACATGGGCCATTAGCCATGTGAAGAATGTGTCAAGAGGTGAAAATTTTGCTGGGTACTCCAGTGAGAGGTTGGCCTGTGAGATTTTTAAAGGAGTCTTTGTGGCTAAGTGCAGAGTGTGAGCATGCAGGGTGTGGCTTATGATACAGCTAGTGCGGTAGGTGAGGGCTATTGATTGCAGAGCCTTCAAGGTTATAAGATGAAATGTGGATTTAATTCAAAAAGCAAGTAAACAATGATGTGATCATATGTTTTACTGAAGTCATTTTGACTGTGCAGTAGGCAATGCTTTGCAGAAGGGAAAGATAAGCAGTGAAAACACCAAACTGGAGACTTTCCTAACTGTCTAACACAGAAAATGGTAGCCTGGGATAGGGTAGTGGTGGTGGTAAACAGGTTCCAATAAAGTTTTCAGAGGTAGAATTATCTTGACATGATGATGTTGGACTTAAGGGAAAGAGCATTGTCAAGGATGATTCATGTTTCTACTTTAAGCAACTGGGTAGTCACAGTGCAGTATGTGTATAGGGTATGAGAAAAGAACAGCTTGATTTAGGAGGATGAGCTGAAATTTGGAGATGTTGAATTTATGTTGCCTGTGGTGGCAGCCAGCTGGATACCACTTATGATGAGCTGTTGTGTGCCAGGTAACAGTTTGCAGTCAGTCATTTATTTTAAAGCCCGCTCCATCTGAACATGCCTAAAATGCAATTAACTTATGTTTCTAGATGTTGATGAATGTGCTACTGGAAGAGTCTCCTGCCCTAGATTTAGACAGTGTGTCAATACTTTTGGGAGTTACATCTGCAAGTGTCATAAAGGCTTCGACCTCATGTACATTGGAGGCAAATACCAGTGTCACGGTAATGAAACTCAACCATCGTTTTGCGTTGTTTCTTTCTATAGTAATGTAGGGGATTTTAATTGTGGTGATGGTTAAATATCAGGGACAGGGAAAGGTATTGGCATTAAATTAAGCAAACCAACTAACATCCAGTTCAACCTCTAGTAGTTCCAATATATGTACTCTATTTCTTCTATTTATTTGCTTGTTTTACATGGTCCTTCACATTGCAAAAAAGAAAAAAAAATTTGAAGTTGCATATATTTTGCATATTATCATATTTGTCTGCTAGATAAACTGCTTCTTCTCCTACCTCCTGATGCAGATATAGATGAATGCTTCCTTGGGCAGCATCAGTGCAGTGGCTTTGCTCGATGTTACAACATTCATGGGTCCTACAAGTGTAAATGTAAAGATGGATACCATGGTGATGGATTCACTTGTGTCTGTGAGTAACACTTGTCTTCCAGCTCTAAATTCCAGCAGGAAATACATGATCCTACAAAGGCCATTTCTAGGGAAGATAAGGGACATAATTAGTTACCAAAATCATATAGTTTAGTAATACTGGTCTGTGCTTTCCACAAACAATAAAATCACATGCTCATGTATTTTTAAAAATTAAAAGCCAGTAATATATCCTAACATTTAAAACATCAGAGTTTTTTTTTTTTTACTAAAATCTCTAAATAACTTCTATTTACCTAAGAAAAAGAACCTATAGAGTTCTTGGGTTTGTTAAAATCAGAAACAAAGCAGGGCATGGTATTGTACTCCTGTGATCCCAGCTACTCCCAAAGCTGAGGCAAGGAGGATCAGAAGTTCAAGATTAACCTGGGCAACTTAGCAAGACCCTGTCTCAAAGTGAAAAATAAAAAGGACTCAGCTCAATGACATAGTGCCCCTACGTTCAATCCCTAGTACTTAATTAAAAATAAAAAGCAGAAATAATTATTTGTCATTAGTATTAAATTGTGAATATATTCCACATTTTGGTCCCTCTGTTTTGCACCTCCAACCTCTACTATAAAAAAAGAATTTCCATATTTATTTCCTCTAAAATCAGAACTATTTTCCTTTTAAAAATTTTACAAGCTGTATTTGGAGTCGTAGGTACATTGCAGATAAATATGAAAAATAAATATATAAAACTTTCTCTAAGATGAAAGTTTTACAAACCAAAGGCATAATTTAGCATACATTTCATGCAACATTAGATAATATTTAAAATTTCCTGAGTGAAATATTTACTAAAAACCATGGGGCATAAAATCAAGGGATTAGAGGATTTTTGAGGGGTCATGCAGTCATTCCTAGTCTGGACTTTATCATTCCAGGCAGATTGAATATTGATATTTTTGGTGAAGATTATCAAAGGTAAAACTTACTCAGATGATCTTTGTAACCTCTGAAAATTTCTTTTTTAGACAGAAGTTGTATAAATTAGTAAGGGAAAGGAAAACCATATGTAGAACATCTAATCAATTGTTTTGTTTTTACATGAATTGAATTTATATAAAGAGTAGGTGAGAAAAGTATCAATCTTTAGACAATTCTAAACAGTTTTATGATATACATGTAGCACTGGACACCTAACATTAGACTCTCTACATTTCTCATATTGGAAAAAAACTTATGTCTCTGTATATTAAAAAAAAAATAACCTCTCATCGCCTCTTTACAATTATTTAAAACTTTTTGTGTTCAAATAATACATATTCATTATAGAAATACCATTGTATTTTTTGCATACATACACACACATACACACACACATTTGTGCATGCATTTGTTATTTGGAAAGTAGTATAACTTAGAGTAAGGAATAATCTAAACATGCAAAATGAAACTAATTTGTGTGAGAGTTCCCACTAGGAATTGAACCCAGGGCCTTGCACATGTTAGGTAAGCTCTGTGCCACTGAACTGTATATCAGCCCCATGTGTTTCTATTTTTTTTTTAATTTTGGTGTTTCACTTGTTAGAAATGGTTATATCCTAATTTAAATATTTTGACTCTTTCAGATATCCCCAAAGTCATGATTGAGCCTTCAGGTCCAATTCATGTACCAAAGGGAAATGGTACCATTTTAAAGGGTGATGGAGGAGATAATAATTGGATTCCTGATGTCAGAAGTACTAGGTGGCCTCTGAAGACACCATATATTCCTCCTGTCATTACCAACAGGCCTACTTCTAAGCCAACAACAAGACCTACACCAAAGCCAATACCACAGCCCACTCCTCCACCACCACCCCTGCCAACAGAGTTCAGAACACCTCCACCTCCACCCACCCCAGAAAGGCCACCTACCAGACTGACAACTGCAGAACCAGCTACAAGCACATCTGCAAGAGGAGTTACAGTTGACAACAGGATACAGACAGATCCTCAGAAACCCAGAGGAGATGTATTCAGTAAGTCACATAAATGTTACCACTTTCTTAAAAGACATTTATAAGCCATGTCTTAAGAATAAACTAATAAAAAGAACTAACTGTAGAAAGTCTTATATTCCTATTGATAAATATTATCAAGAGCTATGTAAAGAGTCAGTATAATCAGACAAGTAGGAAGGAATGTGTGTAAAACTGGAAAGACTGTCACTAAGTCATATGGCTGATTATAGCTTGTACCTAGTATGGGGATTCCCTTATAGTCAGATTTACTTAAAAGCTTTGAGATGTGAACTTATTATATCCCATGCCATTTAAGTTTTTTCAATAATATTTTTTAGTTGTTGATGGACCTTTATTTATTTATTCAATTTGGTGCTGAGAATCAAACCCAGTGCCTCATGGATGCAAGGCAAGCACACTGCCACTGAGCCATTACCCCAGCCCCCCCCCCCCCGCCGCATGCCATTTAAACTTTTAATCTCACTGTTTGCACTGTTTGTTCATTCATTCAGTAAACATTTTTTTAATGCCCTTTAGAGTGCCAGGACATGTACTAAGCATTGGGTTTGCAAAGATAAATCAGAAAAGGTTACAGTCTGTTGGGAAAGACGGTGGTCCAGGAGGTAACTGTGGTGTTATGTTAGTGATTGAGATTTGTGTACATTATGGAAGTAGAGAAAAGGGGTACCTAGTCAAATTTGGGTACAGAGCATTCAGGAAAGGTTTCCTGAGTGAGAGGGGACCAAAGGAATGAGAAAAGAATGCATTATATTTAATGGAGTCAGCACAGCAAAGGCATGAGAGGAGGAAACATCCTGACCTGCAAAAACTGTCAATAAACTGGAGTGTCACATGAGGGAGACATGGGGAGGTGGGACAGCTACCCCTTGTATTTGCTGAAAACTGGTGATTGGCTCTGGACTGGAGCCAGATTATACTCAAGACTCCCAGCTTTTAACAGGTGACTAGGTAAAGGGTAGTACCACCTCTGGAAGTAGAGGTCACGGGAAGAGAAGTGAGTTTTGAAGAGAAAAGGTGGTTCTCTTATTGCAAGACAAAAGTCCACATGCTTTTATCTGTTTCTGTATTTATCCATCTGTCCTGTTTGGCTTTGCTTGTTTTTAACTATCTTTTCATCCACTCCTCCTCCTTCCTCTTCTTTATACATTACCAGTTTCCTTTTTTTTTTTTCCATCCCCTGAGGACAGAATCAAACTTTGTGCCTTTTATCAGGTGAATAGAATACTTATCTTCGTAATGTTTTTTAAAGGACAAAATTTAAGGTTTTTTTTGAGTTTATGTGACTCAATTTTTTTTTCTTTAGGTCATTTTTAGATCATTTAAAGACAGATTGAGATTTTCTGATTTTATTGTGATTGTGTGTGTTTGGGTAATCAGTATAATCTTCAGGAATATTAGATGGTAGCGTTCAAAATGAACATTTTGTATGAGCATATCTGTTTATGTTTGATTTACATATTTTTTAAAATTTCTTCTTCCTGTCTGTGTTTTCTCTCTTCTCTACTCTTCTGTTTTTTCTGTCTCTTAGTGATTATTTACATTACTCTTCTACCTTAAGAGTCATCAATAATTGCAGTTTACTCTAATAAATACAGTCTAACACAGATAACATTTTTCTGAACATTTCTTCTAATATTTTCACTTATTAAAAAGTCTTTCTTTCCATTACTCCTCTTCATGACTACACACATGTGAGTTAAAAATAAATGAAAACAACATTGATGTTTGCCATTAGACTTTAACAGGATAAAGTTGGGGAAATGCAGAGTTCCAGTGATGCCTGAAAGTACTCATTGCAAGGGAGAGCAATCGTAAAGACATGCTCTGGGACTTGGTTACCTTGATCCTGTGCCAAGGCTGTTGCATGCCACAGATAGCATTGCTGCCTGCAGATATGGCTGTCGAAAATTAGATTCCACTCATTCATCTTCAGCAATAGCTGCTGGTTCACTTTAGCACAGAGAATATTTTGGACCCTTCTTTACTTGCTGCCTTGTGATTGTAGCATATATCCTGAATGAGAAAATGATTCCAAGTTTTCAATTCAGAAAAAAAAATGACTAATGTCTATTCACTATGAAAACAGAAAGGGACATAAGCACTAGTTTAGTTCAGTACTATTCATTCATTGAATATTTTCTTTACTTTTAAAATAAAACTTCTTAAAACATCCTGTTTTTTATAGGTCTCAGAAAAGAATTTGGCTGTCTTCATTTCATGAATTTTTAGAATTATGACTATAATTTAACAGTCTCCTCCAAATTGTCTCAGACTTCAGTTGTATATTTCTTTACATAGAAAGGCAATTTTTAATGGGAGGGGCTGTGAAATAGAGGTTTTCTTTATAGTGTGTTGGTGTGTGTGTATGTGTGCATTGCCCCCTTTAGAAAAAATGTGAAGATATTCTAAAAACAAAGGAAGAAAAACATTATAAGAATACATCTCCAGGACTGGGGTTGCAGCTCAGTGGCAGAACGCTTGCCTTGCCCATGTGAGGCACTGGGTTCCTTCCACAGCACCACATAAAAATAAATAAACAAAATAAAGATATCGTGTCCATGTATAACTAAAAATAATTAAAAGAAAAAGAAAACATCTCTGGTCTAGATTTCTCCTCAAACTTTTGACTTGTACATTCTAAGGAACCTTTTATATGCTTGAATTAGCTAGATTTCACTTGTGGATTCTGATAGTCTTACCCAAAGGATTAGGATCAGGATCTTTCTCTGATTCTAATACAGCATAATATAGCCATTAAAAGGAAACATTCTGTGGAAAATCTCCAGTGTACTTCTAAATTGTAAATATCATGTTAACAAATGGCAAAAGGCACAGGATTGGAACTGAGGTGTTTTTAGCAACTTCAAAGGATAGACCACATTGACTCAGAAGAGACCTACGTTGGATTCAGGCTTCTTTTACTTTTGGATTATGTGACTTGGAACAGTTACTATGCTGTCCATCTCTGCTTTCTCTTCTGTAAAATGGAGGCCATACCCAGGCCTGCCTTCTCTTAGAATGGTTTCAAGGATCACAGATAATACAAGTAAAAATTCTGTGAATGACAAATTACTATGAAATGGAAACAATTATTTACTTATTGTAAATAACCATGATGGGAAGAATTTAAATAATATATAACTAAAGAAATCCTCTTTCATGGGTTCTATGAAATACTGAGCACATATTTTTAAAAATAAATCTAGGGTTTTTTTGGTTAATGTGATTAGAAGAAAATCAGCATATTTGCAGGGCTGATCCTTTAGGCATGATTTGAGCAGCACTGAAGTTCTCTCCAAAGCATGAAATTCTTGTATTTTCATTAGTGCGACAGACAGTGCTTCTCAAAATGTGTTAAAGTATTTTCTCTGACATATTATGCAGTTGTATGCCCCCCCAAAACTTCTGAGGTCAAATACATTTGAGAAATCCTAGGTTTAGCCAAGTTAAATTAGCTTAAGACTTCTTAAAACTTTAATTGCCATTTCTTAATGCTAAGGTTATTGTTAAATCTCTAGGAGAGGGTTAATATAAGCAGTATTTCCCAAATAAATTTAACCATGCGATTATTCAACTGTTTGAATTAGAGTTCATTATCCCCAACTTCAGTTCAATCTGGGCTGAACTAATTTGTATAGAGATAATTCTTCACAAAACCCAATAGCTCTTGCTAATTAGCTCTCATTGTGTGGCTTTTGAGACTAATGGGTTGATCTGGGATTCTGGAGTAGTCAGGCAGAAATTGATGGTACCTAGGAAGGACAGAAAGATGCTAGGTAGACTAAAACCAGAAAAGCAGATTTAAGTGGTAGGATGCCTGTATAAATACCAGAAATATGCTACAGGGGATTGCTAGAAAGTTGGAGACTAGGCACTACAGACAAAAATCTCATGTCAGAAGAGGTAGGAAGGAGCTATCTTGGACTAAGAAAAATAAGACAGCTTTTAAGTAGAACCTGAAGTAAAGGAAGGTAGGGGGGAAATGCATACTGGCCTAGCATTACAATAAATGAAAAATTATGTGACTTAATGATGTCTTTTGGAAAATATTTAGTAACTTGAGAAAACTCCCATGTTATAAAAATAAATGTTCAATGAAAAAAGATTACAAAAGTGTATATACCACTTGACCCCCATTAGATATCAAATTCAAGTCTACATTTGCCTGTATGTCTATAAAATCTGTTAAAAAAAAAAAAAGACCAAAATAGTAACCGTGGACATGTTTTACGTGATTTTCATTGTATTCTTGTCATCATCAATCAATAATTTTTGAAGTTTTCATTCTCATCCTCATAGATAACAGTGGTTTGTTATAACAATGATTCCTTAGGCAAAGGATCAGTGGTAATATAATCTCCCTCTCCCCAGCAAAAGAGTGAGATATGTGTTTTGAAAAGGTATTCCTGGGAAATTCTTATTCTTATTCATGTTAATTTTATTTTGGACATACTGCCTTTAAAATTTTTATTAAAGTTTTCATTAACTTATAATTTTAAGCTTTCAAAAATTTTTTTTTACAATTGAGTCTGTCAGAAGTATTCTATTTTATCTAGGAGACTCAGATTACTATGAGGAATATTGTATCAAGAAGCAAGCAGATTTTTTTCCCCTTAAAAAAGTGTTTACAGAAGTCCATTTGAACCAGAATAAGTAGTCTCCTTACTTAAAATGTAGATTCCTAATCCCTACAGCAGATTTACTCAGGCTTTCTAGGGATAGAACTTCTCAGGCTTTAACAAATATACCAGTCTCATGGGAATCTGGTTAAAATGAAGACTGACTCATTAGGCCTGGGGTAGGACCCATGACTGCATTTCCATCAAGCTTACAGGTAAATGCTGCTGATCTACGGAACAAACTTTGGGTAACGGGTTCTCTAAACCATAATGGCGGCTCAAACCCACAGAACCATGTTTTAGATAGAGACAGAATTAGCCAGATGTAGGATGTTGTGCCTTTGGATATGAGGTATGCCCCTAAAGCTCCTGTTGATA